CCGGCGGCGGTCTCCCTGACGGACAGGCTGCGGTCCAGCAGCAGCGGCCCTAGGCAGCGCACGGCGTCCCTCTGCAGGAAGGCCGGGATCACCTGGCTCTGCTGCACCATCCGCGAGATGCTGGCGCAGGTGTACTCCCGCACGTCCGGGCTCGGGTTCTGCAGCTGCCACAGGCACACACAGACACAGGCGTGACAGTTCTCAAGAGAACTCCAACTGTGCCACTGCCCAAGAACCCTAAGGCAACTTGTGTGAGTGATTTTCTGCCCAGTAGCACTCACTTCAGTCATGTGCCTAGAAAGCCCAGTATTGTCATATATACTGCACTATCCCATAATCTCTTGACCCACTTCAGTTTGCTTACCGCCTGAATAGGTCAGTTGATGATGCCATATCTCTAGCACTACATAACTCCCTAGAACATTCAGACAGATGTATGTTAGGATGCTGTTTAGGGATTACAGTTCGGCCTTTAACACAATTGTTGCCACCAAGCTGGTCCCAAAACTCAGGAATCTGGGCTTATGCAACTCTATCTGCAACTGGATACTGGATTTCCTGGCAGGCAGACCTCAGGTTGTGACAATTGGCAACAATATCTCCTCCACAGTGATCCTAAACACTGGAGCTCCCCAAGGCTGCTGTCTCAGTCCTAGGCTGTACTCTTTGTTCACCTACGACTGTACAGCCACTTACAGCAGCAACCACATTAATATGTTTGCAGATGACACCGCTATTATTGGGCTGGTCAGCAACAACGAGTCCACACACAGGAATGAGGTGGAGCACCTTATAAGATGGTGCCTTGACCACAATCTGGCCCTGAATGTCACCAAGACAAAAGAACTCATTGTGGACATCAGGACACCCAGAGGGAGTCTCGCCCCAATCAGCATCGAGGGCACAGCAGTGGACACTGTCAGCTGCTTCAGATTCCTGGGGTCTGTAGATCTCTACGGACTTGGCTTGGTGTCACAACACTGCAGCCGGTCTGAAAAAGGCACAACAGCGCCTGCATTTTCTGCAGCACCATAGAAAGCGTCCTCAGTAGTGGCATCACTGTGTGGTACAGCAGTATTACCATGCATGACAGAGACGCACTACAAAGGGTTGTGGCAACAGCGCACAGGATTATAGGATGTGATTTACCATCAATCGGTGAGATTCACATCATCCGGTGTCGCAATAAAGAACGATCATCATTCAGGATCCCAACCATCCCAGCCACGGACTGTTCTCTGGCAAGTGGGACTGCACTATTAAAGCACGGACCACTAGACTCAAGAACAGTTTCTACCCTACTGCAGCATGTATCCTTAACGACTAACTGCAATGCTTCAGACCCAATACACACCTGCACTATACACGAGCCCCCACTTCCTTACAGACTGAACCAGTTAAACAGGGTCCGTTGAATTCCTGCACACTGATGCCCAAAGAGAGCTCTAGTTCTAGACCTTGTAGGTCTTGGTTCAGCAACAGGCTTTTTGACGGATCATTACTATGAGTTATTTTATTGCTCTCGTCCACCGGGGGCATTGCGGCGGCTCTGTGGCTCAGGATCTGTGCCTGTGGCTGGAAGGTTACCAGTTCAAATCCCACGGCCGGCAGAGGAATCCTACTCCGTTGGGCCCCTGAGCAAGGCCCTTAACCCTAACTGCTCCAGGGGCGCCGTACAATGGTTGACCCTGCGCTCTGACCCCCAGCTTCTCTCCCTGTCTGTGTCTCATGGAGAGCAGGCGAGGGTATGCGAAAAGACGAATTCCTAATGCAAGGAATTGTATATTCCAATAAAGTGATCTTATCTTATCATATCCATTTCCTACCCGCTTTATCAAATTCACAGTCTAAGGGAAGCCGGAGCCTATCCCAGTAAGCAACAGGTGCAAACAGGGAACACCCTGGGTGGGACGCCAGTCCATCACAGGCCAGATGGACACGAACAGAGACTCACGCACTCAGAACAGGGCCAGTTTTCCCAGAAGCCAGGTCTTTGGACTGTGGGAGGACAGGAGTTGGCACATTCTCCACACACATAGACAGCACCCCAGGTCCGGACTTAAACTCAGGACCCCACCACGACTGTCATTAATAACACATGACCGTATATCATTATTAATTCATCGATTTGCAGACACTAAAGAAGTGACAGAGAAATCTGAGAACTTGATTGATGTCCACAAGTGCAGAGTCACATTCAAGCAGAAGAGTAATATATAGATACAATAGAGGAAACTAGTTCTGCGCTGAGTCCACTTACAGAAAACATGTATTTATCTTGATACAATTATCATCTTCAAGACAATTTGGGAGAACAATAAAAACGCAAACGATGTTACAATATCGCGATAAAAGTGTACACTAAGTGCATCTAAATCTGAGAACAAAGGCTCGTCTTTACACAGAGAGTTGTTGGGGTTTGGAACAAACTTATGATCTTTTCGTGTTTCAAATCGTTTAGACTAAACTAACGGAGGAGCGTACCAATGCATGGAAAACCACTCGGAAGAGGAAGGAGAATTAATCACCAGCTCCCAAATCCAAGAGTCGGTGAATACCAGCGCGCTTTGTAGTGTGCTAAACAAACTGTCCTGCCTGGCAACATGTCGCTGAACTTTCTGTAACCACTACAGACACGCCAAGATGAAGAAAAGCGCTGGTGCTGGTTTAAAAGGAGAAAGCGGTCTAACTTTCCCTGCAGGGGCACAACACATGCGCGCTAATCGCACGTGCCTCCGCTCAGCCCTTTTAAACTGGGGGACAGCCGGGCCGAGCGGAAGCATGTGACGCCGATTGGATGCATTAGTTTCAACCGGCCTCGACACCGCCGGACACCGCCGCCAGACGAAAACCTCTTACTTTGTCCAGCAGCTCGCCGGCTGGGGTGTCGACCTCTCCAGCCTCTCCGTCCTCCTCGACCTCCTCCTGGCCGATTCTGACGGGCAGCCCCTCCGCCGAGAACTGCGGCCGCTTAAACTTCTTGTTCTTGCTCTTGCCCATCGCGCTGTCGTCTGCGGGGCGAGGCGGTAGTGGCAGCTAGGCGCGGTTGTGTTACGGGACCCACACGCACTCCGATCTCAAGCGCTGCGCCCGGCCATGTGCGGATCAGTGTAGTGTAGTGTAGCTCGGCTCAGCCCCGCACGCCGCCGCCGTCCATCGCCACGGTCGCGCCGGCAAGCACGCGCACGCCGCGCGGCCTGACGCCGAGCGTGGGGCTGGGCTTGCGCGCGATGGAGCGGGCTGCTGCCGCCTCGCGGAGAAGGAACAGCCTCTCCCAAGTCCCATGACTTTAAAAATCAAGAAATCGTGTTTTGTGGCACGGATTAAAATGTCTAAAACTTCTGCTTTTGCGCTTCCAGTTGATTTTACATGCAGTAGCTTAAATGGTATTAAAAAGATCACGGCCCTTTAGGTTTAACAGCAGAAGGAAATTGAAGAGAGCGACTAAGCAGCGGGATGTTGTCAGAAATGAACGAGGCAGTCATATTCTATATTGGGTATTCATTTCGCATTGCACTTGAGCTGTTGGAGGTCATTTAACATTTTTCATTGTGCAAAACCATTTCTGCTATTCATCAGAGAAAAACTCCAGGCAGTACAGAGGTAACAGACTGTTTTAATACTGCTGTAAAACTATAACCTTCACACAGAGATGGTAAGTGCCAATTCTGTATCGGTAGTCTTTGGGTTTGCACGCTGAACCCATTTTTACATTAAGAGTTCACAAATTTAGTTATATGGGGATCCTTAGGCTAGACAGACTACCCCCCGCAAAAATAAATGTGTGACCAACACCCCTGTCCAGTGAGGTCTCTTCTGTCAGAAACGAACTGATGGTATTTAATGTATCGGCAAAAGATTCTGTCTGGAAGTTGCTAATGTTGATTCAGCTAACACACAAAAGCAAATATTCAGGTAGTTGGGTATCCAGGCCTGGCCTTGTGAGTGGTGTGTGTTTAAGCTTAATTTCTAAATGTTAGCTGTAGTCTCATCACCATTCAGAATTGCTGTTGAGGTTTAAACACAAAACAATACACACAACACTAAAATTGATATTTATTGAAAGATATGGGGAACAAAATTAAATCAGTTACAATAAACATCTGCTACAATTGCACTGTTGGAAATCAAAAGGTTAGTCATGTGCCCGTAAGACTTTTTTTTTGCCAGAGAAATAATTAAAGCAAAAATATAAAAAAAAACATTCAGAGAATTCTTCTTATAAAGTGATGATAAAATTCTACTATGATGCTTCTAAGCTATGACAGTCTGAAATAATACAATGCAATGCAAGACCACAAAAGATTCAACAGATGGCTTTTGACCAATGTCATTTAAATAACTTTTCAAAGAAACAACAATACTTCAGATTTTTGGCATCCTCATGGAGAGAGAATGTTTCAGCATCCAGTCCTATTTATTAACTGAGTAAAACAGGGTTGCGATTTCTGAATCTAGCAATGCAGCATGTTCATCTCCAAAGACACTTCTACCATGGAAATGAAAAAATGTCAATGTTCAACCTAGGAAAAAAAGGTCAATTTCAGATGGATTATTTTAATTAATTTCCAATCAACAAAAAATAAAATGGTATACAAGTCTTCCAGACATACAGTACCAGCATTCAAAAGTACCAGAAGACAGCCCAGAGTTCCAGATCAATATTTTAAGCAATTCATGATTTAAACATTGTAATATGGAGAAACTGGAATATAGCAATTCTTTATACAGATCCAGATTTTTTATTTCCAGTTCTGCAGTGGACTCTCTGGCATTCCTGACCTTAAAACCTAACTGATACAAGATGGCTTAGTTCACACAAGAACACTTAGTGAATCATCACTATCAGAGCTGCAACGTCCTGAGCTCATGACTCTTAGAGACAGAATTTTAGCCTTCACAGTACAGCCAAAAGAAAAAAACACTTGACAAATTTAATCAATCAAAAGCACAAATACAGGTGGGCAATGCAGACATCAAACATTCAAACCTTCCTGCATTTAATATAAAAATTGTTTAAAAAGGCTCAAGGACTTCGCATCGGTTGAAGTTTTACAAACCATGTCAAGGTAAATGACACAGGACTGCGTAGTGTTAGAGCCCCAGAGACAAGACCCAACAGTTAACAGCTTTGGCAACAGAGAGAAAATAATCCCGTTGCTGGGATCTAGGAGAAAAACCATGATATTTCCCTTTAAGATGGATTAAAAGATAAAAGTCACATGCACACCCATGCACTCTGGTGTGGTAGAGATGTGCCACACTATTTACAGCAAATACACAAGATAAATACAGTAAAAGAGACCAAGGCTGGAGGTTCCTGGTCACATTCCAATAAGCTGGTTCACACACAAGCAAGGGCTTTTAAAGTGACACAGCAACACTGAAATTTACAACACAGAAAAGTACCTTTCCACATGATGTTTGGCATTTCATAGAAACGTAATTTACAAATCACCTATTTGTTATTCTCTTCTCTTCCTCTCTTTTAGATGATGGCCTCCAAGGGTTCATTGTCTGTATATCACTCAACAGATACTGCTCCTAAAAAAGCTATTTCGATTTCTCCTGGTGGTCTCTGGTCAGAACTCTCATCTCGGGAAAGGTGCTACTGGACATGTGGTCTTGGTTTCAGGATAAGCTTTCCTGTCTGCAGAAAGAAGATGGTATAAGCCATCGGCTTTGATTAAATGTTCACTTGCACCACAATAACACAAAATGAATGCCCTAAAGATTCCCAGGTTAAAACCAGAAGTACTTTACATGCTCCTTCAACTGCGTTATACCAAAATAACATTTGATTCTATGAACCTGGTCTAACAGTGCTCACTACTAAAAGACGAAATTATTCAAAGCTTTTCCAACATTTCATTCTAAATCCTCCTCCACTTCCAGATGCTGTGCTTAAGTGTTAAGACCCAGCAAACAGAACAGGGGAATGTGCTTTCATAGACCATTCAGGGGAGACTCAATAACCAGAAACTCATCTGTCATATCCCACTGCAAGATGGTGCCTTCCACAGATGTCACAATGCAGAATCCAACTGCAGTAGATCATTTGATTCCTGTTTCTGTGCGTCCTCAAACGCACCAATTCACAATTAAACAACTGCAACAATTCTATGCCTCCTCAAGTGCAGCACCGCTCACTACAATACAGCTTCCATTCATGCCCGAGGTCTCCCAACCATTTTATGACATTTCCTTAAGAAGCCTTGTGTGTGCTGGGAATGTCTACTCACATCATCGCAGGACATGTTGTATTCTGCTAAAACTGTCCGGCAGCGGGCGGCGATTCTGAAGAACGTGGGTTAAAGAAACAGCAGAAAACTTTATAGAAAAATCTGTGGCATTTGTTTCTAGATTAATCCTACTTCACATTTAACATAACATCTTTTCGTGTGTTCCTCGGTTTTGTAGGACTGTCACAATATTTCTGTATCTCGACACTGTAGTCCGCAGAGATAACAGGTCTGTCTGCCACAGCCCAACAGAGGCTAATCTTCCCTTGTTTCCTACGGGTGAGTCAAGCTATAAGACACTGCCATTAAAGTTGGCCCAGAAATGATTTTGTGTTAACAGAAGCGAATCTGCTTTTATTTGCAGTTGTATCAAAACAGCTCTTTGAAGACAAAAAGGATACATCGATGGGGCCACTACTCTCTTATGTATTCCTGCGAAGAACAAGCCTATCAATGTTATACAGCTAATTGTGAAGAATGGGTGATTCCACAGAGATGTGAAGAATGACACCTGCAAAACACATGAAAAGGATAAAAACAGATTGAGTTTAAAGAACTCGAAGGAGTTCTTGGAGAAACAGGAAGGAGACTCGGAGACCGCTTCAGAGAACATGTCAGGGCTGTGAAGATTAAAGATCTCTCCAAGCCCATTGTTTCTCATCTCACCTCTGACGGCCACGACCACTCTAATCTCTCCGTCTGTGTTCTCAAAGACGGTTTTCCGAACTCATACATCAGAAAGACCACCGAAACCAAAATTATTCTGCAG